CTATGAGACTGCATCCGAGCTTTTAAACTTTTGGGTGGCGGAGCGAACAACACAGCAATGAAACATTTGTCTATATGTCAATAATAAATACAATCTACTGTTATGAGTAGCCTCCTCTTCTGTCTTGGGTAGGCTCTCTTTGACCACCTGCTAACACGGATGAGGCAACTGAACAAGGGACTACGTGCTAAAGTCAGAAATTTGGAAAAGATGCCTTCTGAATTTTTTTTTTGGTTGGCTAGTGGTTATTTATTAAACCTAGTCTCCCACAGTCAGTCTTCATTGTGGGTAACATGCTTTCCTGTCCCAAGTAATCTCATCCTTATATTCCCTTAAGGGTGTCTATTCACTCATTCATTCACCAAGTGTTATTCATACTATGCGGACAACACCATTTTCTACTTTACTTAGAAAAATACAAGACTAATCCCAGCACTTTGGGAGGCCGAGATGGGCGGATCACAAGGTCAGGAGATCAAGACCATCCTGGCTAACACGGTGAAACCCCGTCTCTACTAAAATATACAAAAATCTAGCCGGGCGAGGTGGCAGGCGCCTGTAGTCCCAGCTACTCGGGAGGCTGAGGCAGGAGAATGGCGTAAACCTGGGAGGCGGAGCTTGCAGTGAGCTGAGATCCGGCCACTGCCCTCCAGCCTGGGCGACAGAGGGAGACTCCGCCTCAAAAAAAAAAAAAAAAGAAAAGAAAAATACAAGACTTATGACTGTGATTTTAAAACACTAATAATTATGTATTGCGAGCTAAGATTCAGCAGGAGATTTGAAAAAGATATTTTAATCTCAGCTCTCATATTAAAAAGATATTTTAGTCTCAGCACTGAGACTTTGGGCATATATCTTTATAACTCTGGAGCTCTGTTTCATGAAATAAAGCATACTACTAAATTTTCAGCCTACTCAGATGAGGAGCCTTTAAAGAATTTTCGCTTGAAATTTACCACTTCTGAAATATATGTGTGTGTTCATGGCAGGGGAGTTCGTTTTAGCAGTGAAATCCCATAATGAGTGAATTACGCATCACTGAAGCTTCATTACTTTCCGTCTAAGAATCCACAGAGTGGGTGAGCCTTGCTTTGGAAGTGCATCAGGTGAGGTTTTGGACTCTACTGTTGATCCTAATTCTAGGAGTAGAGGATCCACAGACTAGATGCTCCTCAAGGGCAAATGCTTCATTTCATTTACTTTTGCTATCTCAGAACCTAGCAGAAACTCTGGTGCCTGAGGCTTGTATAGGTGCTCTCTAATTGTTGAATGAATTACTACATGAGTTCTCAGGCCTAAAATTTCATGCTCCCATAAACAGCAAATTCAGAGGAAAAATTATTGTAAACGACATCTTTACTCTTAACAACTTTTTATCTGCAATAAATTGGTGAAATTTCTAGCATGCGCTCTCAATTCTTTCTGGGTCATTTTTGTACTCATAATCTACACTTCAAGTCTATAAAAATAATCTATGATTCTTGCAAGAAATTGCTTCACTTTTGGTTCCTGACAGTCTGCATGTAAGCAGTTTTCTTATCCATTGTCATTCCCACCTTGGCAACATTAACTGCAGACCCATAACCAGTCGAAAATCCACAGCCAATGAGGCAGACTTTCTCCAGGGGCGAGGCTGCATCAATTTTGGCCACTGCATTCTCATCCACCACCGTGTACTGGGAGAAGGTGCTGGTGCCAACGAAGTGGTGAATGGGCTTCCCCCTGCAGGTGAATCTCCTGGTGCCATCCTGCAGGGTCCCCCGAGGATTGCTCAGACTGGGCAGTGCAATATACAGACACACAAAGGCTTGAGACAGGATTATAACTAATGTGCAAACTCAAAGTCTGTGTAAAGAGAGCATCAGAAACCTACTCATTTTTCACACAGTAGTTGCCTTCTGGGCTTTTACAAACTCTGCATTTTCCACACTGAGGAGTAAAGAGCGGGATGACTTTATCACCTGGAGAGGAATAAAACAAGTTCTTCTTAAATTTCTATGCGGGAATTAATACAGCAAAAACTTAAAGCTCAGGTGTATTGATTAGAAACATGTTTCTTTAACAGTCTTTAAGGATTAGAGTTCAATCATAATTATGTCATTTTTCAATGCCTGCCACAGCATTGTTTTCAGTTTGGGTTTATAAGTGCCTGAGGATTCCTAAAGAGAAAACACAAATGTGGGAGATCCCACAGATTAAAAAAATTGCTTCCTCTGTATTAATAGTTAACTTTTATGCTGTGTACTGATTTCTCCTGGAGGCTTTGCAAATATCATTTTATTTAAACTTTAACTAATTAAATCTTAAATATTCTTACTATAAATACAAATTTTAGTTGAAGGTCATCTATTATAGGGCCCGTAGATATTGGGAAGATCTGGTATTTTGTAAAATGTTAATTTAAAATACATACGAGAATTTTGAACCAATTCTTGGCTTTTCAAAGTGATTGTGCTTATCTTTTTTATGAAATGAATGCTTTAAAAAAATTCTAGGTTTTTTTTTTCTCCAGAAAAACTAACAAAAATGAGACAAAGAAGAATTCCAGAAATTTCTCTGAAAGCTTCAGCCCTTCACAAGAAGTTAGGCACTTTCTTTTAGGATAAGAATTGACTTACAAATATTTTTAGCTGATAATTTGTGAATTATCTACTTTTCCTGTTGTGGTGGAGGGAGTAGGGGTAAAAAGCAAGGCTGTCATTTTGTTGTTAATTTATTTCTAGCTAAAAGAAATAGAGCTAAAACCTAATTTGGACAGTTTATTTTATTATTTTCTGTTCACAGTTTAAATTGGTATTTGGTAAGGGGGCAGGGTGAATCTACAGGCTAAAGTGATTTTTAAGAATTAAATGTAATTTTTATTTTCAATCACCTATGCTATACATTCCACATGATCAAGAAAAATGGTTGGTGCATTAACATTTTATAGGTAAAGTTTATGTGAAAATGATAGTATGGCAATGTCCTAGTTATTAACCCTTTGCTTCTAAAAGTATTTATATTAATACGTAAGATTAGGGTAAAATAAATATTGAATATAAAATAATTAGTAATCTGTAACCAGTTGCATTTAAGCATGGCTAAAGGTAATAAGGCAGATATTGTTGATGGCGGGACGTTTCCTTCTATGTTTCTTTCATTTCCTTTCACCTAGCCTGTTTCATTGATTCCATGCTCAGGAAGAGAGACCATGTTGGAAAAAGAAACTGGTGAAGGAGCAGCATAGGTCACCTAAGAAAAGGTCATGTTTATTCAGCCGTAACCACGCAGCCTCCATTTTGTGAACTCAGCACTGAACAGTTTCTATATTTAAGTTTTTTCCCTCCTCCCGTTTCTACTTCTGTCTGGGCCCTGACAGAAGACAGTGTTCAGCAACACTAATACGGAAGTTACTAGATTATGAATGCCACACTGGTAGGCACTGTGTCCCTTTTGATCCTCACGTATATCCAGGCTCTAACCTGGTGCCTGGCGTCTAGTAGATACTCAGTACATAATGGTTGAAGGGTAGAATACATGCCTGCCTGAAGACATACATGCTTGAGTCAGGCAGGCAGAGAGGGAAAGAGGAAACCCCTGAAGTCCTGGCTGCGCGGTGACCTTCTGCAAGCCCTTCTGTCTCTCGTTGCCTCGGTTTCCTCATCCAGGCTGGGAAATCCTGGGATGGTGAACCAAGCGTGTTCCCTGAGTGTGAATCCTGTACCTGGTTTGACTGTAGTCACCCCTTCTCCAACACTTTCCACGATGCCGGCTGCCTCATGGCCTAAAATCGCAGGAAGGGGGCTCACCAGGTTGCCACTAACCACGTGGTCATCTGTGCGACAGATTCCTACAGCCACCATCTACAGAATAAAGAGAAGATGCTCAGATTCAGAAAAGATTGTAACTAGATAAATTTAACATACCCAAATTCCTGAAATTGTGCTTCTAAAATATATTCAAGGGTTTTGCTAATACTCCCTACTAATCCTAAATATGAAAGATTCGGTTTATCCTCAAGGTTATTCAGTCTAAAACCCGTCTCTACCTTCCCTTCTTGAATTAAACAATTTAGAATAATCTGAAATATTAAAGTCTTATACAAGAATGCACGCTTTAAAAAACAGAAGTAGAAATAGCAAGGTAACACTTGGAAAATAATGTTAATTGATTTTGAAGTCTTGATAAATATCCTTTGGAATTTTTTTCTGTACAAACATATAAATTCTTTTGTATTTTACTGGAATTATACTGTATGTACTCTTTGATCACTTTTTAAACATTTAAAATTTATATTTATACCTTTCCTTGACAACAAATGTAATTTTATTTTCTGGATGATCATATAAGATATGCCTCTTAGCGGATTTTTTGATGTTTCCATTTCAATATTCTCTGAGTTTTTTAAATGTAAAATGAAATACAAATGGAAAAATATTTCACCTTAATGCGAACTTCATAAGCCTTAGGAGGTGCAACCTCCACATCCTCAATGGAAAAGGGTTTCTTTACCTCCCATAGCACAGCTGCTTTGCATTTGATGACCTAGAAAATCAAACAGAGAGATGGTGACAGTGTTTTCCCACTCTTGAAGTCAGAAATTGTGTCTTTTCATCTTTGTACATGTAATATTGGGTCCCATGTCTGGTACCTAACAGGTGCTCCATGGAAATGAAGTACTCTGGTTTATAAAGAGAATAAAAGTATCTTTTTAAAAAGCAATAACGTAAGGAAAGATAAACAAAGTATAATAAGACATTGAGAAAGACGGAATATATTTATTTAGGCCATTTTTATGCTGTTGTATTTTTCTCTGAAGGTGTTTATTCCTGATATTTCCTAATGCTGTCCTGAAAATGCTTGTTTACCCACAACTGTTGGCTGATACATGAAGTTAGAAATCACTTTTATTTTGCTGACAGAGTCAGTATCTGTCTCCATAACATAAACTGCTTTCTTGCTCAATTTTCTGCTTAGGCCAAAAGGATCTGACTCTATAAGAACAGTTATACGGGTTTACCTTCCTGCGTACGATGATGTTTCTTTCTCTCCCTATTTGCTTATTGTCCTCTTTCAATTTTCTCTCTCCACCACTTCTGTGTGCTACTTGTTTCCTACTCATTTGAAACTTATCTTTGGCAGCCTGTTTTGTAATCTAATTTATGTGTAGAGACTCTTTCCAGCTTAGATTTGAGCCAAATATTATAGAGATTAGAGTTGGTGGTATGTGTGTGTGTGCACGCACGTATGTGTGTATAGACTCAGACCCACACATGTATATTTTAAAACTGGAGAAACAGTGTGTTTGAATTTCTGTCTAGCAGAGGTTATCCATAGATGTTCTTAAAAAGAAAGTTCAGCATATATTTCTAGTGCTTGGCAGTATACTGTAAAAACCATCTTCACTGTGGTAAAGCATGTATAGTTTGCAGAGCCCTTTCTAGAAAGAATCAACATAATTGCAAATATAATTAAAAATTCAATTGAGATTTATTTTTCTGCCAATTCATTTTCATTATTTATTTGTCAAATTTTTCAACTTTGTCGGATGTTCAACATGGTCAATGCCAAAATAAATATCAGAATACTTAGACAGAAGGTAATAATAGTAGGAAGTTTCTTATTATTAGGTGCTTATGATGTGACAGGCGCATTGTGGCTTGTGCTGGGTAAATTATATGCATTATTTTTATTTTAAAATTTATTCATTGATTGATTTTTAATTTCAATAGGTTTTGGGGTACAGGTGGTTTTTGGTTACATGGATAAGTTCTTTTGCGATGATTTCTGAGATTTTGGTGCACCCCTCACCTGAGCAGTGTAGACTGAACCCAATATGTAGTCTTTTATCTCTCATTCCCCCTACTGCCATTTTCCCTCAGTCCCCAAAGTTCCTTATATCATTCTTATCCTTTATGTCCTCACAGTTTAGCTACCACTTTTAAGTGAGAACATTGGATATTTGGTGTTCCATTCCTGAGTTACTTCACTTAGAATAATGGCCTCCAGCTCCATCCAAGTTGCTGCAAAGGCCGTTATTTCGTCTGTTTTACAGCTAAGTAGTATTCCGTGGTGTACATGTACCACATTTTGTTTATCCACTTGTTAGTTGATGGGCATTTAGGTTGATTCCATATTTTTGCAATTGCAAATTGTGCTGCTATAAACAATGAGCATTATTTTTAAACCTGACAAGGCTGCTACCAGGACAGTACTATTGAATTATTGGCTTATTTTACAGCTGAAATAATTGAGAATCAAATGACTCAGTGATTGAATAATTTTCCCGAAGTCTCAAAGCTGGCTGTACAGAGAATAACAATTAATCTAGCCTCACATTTTCAGTACTCTGTGATGTTAAAAAGTTAGCAAAAAGTTAAATAGTAATAATGATAGTGGCTAATATTTATTTAAATATTAATATTTAATAGTGGCTAATATTTAATCATGTACCAGATATGATTCTAAGTGCTTTACGGTATTCATTTAATTCTCAAAACTACTTCATGAAAGAGATGTTAGTATTGTCACCATTTAGCATTTGAGGGAAACAAAATGCAGGATGGGTAAACACAAATGAAATGCTGTCAAAAAGCTAAGCTATTGATGTTGCACCCAAGAGGGGAGGATTGTCTATTTCATCAGTTATTATTTTCATTAATATAGTTGGTTTATACTTTTGCTCTATGAACTCATTATTTTAAGTTGAGTTTGGTAAATTTGAATTTTCTTTATTTTAGTGATTTTCTATTAGGAATGTAAATATTAATTAGTAATAAATGGAAGTAAAGTGAGGTGGAATAAGAACAGTAACAATGCGCTATTGGTGATTTCCAGCTGGTTTTATTGATATGAGCCTGTTTGTCACACAACGTAGAGAGAAGCCTCAGAACCTTTAAATTGAATTATCATGGTGAGATATTTTACTGTGTGGTACACTCCTAACACAACAAATGACTGGAAATAGTTGCACAGGTTTATGTAATTAAACAATTAAAAAATATCAATTGATTATATTGAATGACCACATGCACCTGTAAACACATTGAACAAATAAGCGCAAATTTATAGAAGAAAAAGCAAATATCTGTATTCCTAGTGCTAAGTGATTCGAATTGTATTATTATTCAAATTGTATTATTAATTTTCTGTGAAACCACATTAACTTTTAAATGGGGAAGATACTGTTCCAAAGGATTTTTGTGGAAATTCCCTGAATTGTATCATACTGGACCCCTTTTAATTAGAATTTGCATGCTGATGTCTTGCTTAACCTTGATGATTCTAATGCTGTGAGATCAAAGAGCATTTTGTAAGATATTTTATAGTAAGGTTGAAGGATATTTCAGTCTTCTGGATCAAATTCTTCTCATCAAACTTCTGTCAGACAACTTTCTTGTGTTCATAAAAATATGAATACAAATAATAACACATTTGAATTATAGTGTCTTATTATAAAGATAACTTGCGATTAAAGACTTTTCTAACTTTAGATTTACAAATCAGTCATTAGTTTGGAATAAACTATCATATTTGCAAATTTATTTAATGTAGGAAATAAAGACTTAATAGATACAGGTTTTATACATTCCTGTTGAAGATATTTAAGAATAGCTTATTTCCACTGCAGTTCAGTATACATTACATATTGAGATGTATATTGCATATCATATTTCAGTGTATCATTTCTAATTTAGATAATAATTTTAAATTATTCATCAAATACTGTATTCCGCTCTTTGTTATACTGATGAGAATATATTACCAACAGTAATATATTTTTTGCTTACTTTTCCTGCTGTGCTCATGTTGTTTCTGTCTTCTCTGCAGGCCAGGAGACTGGTGAGTCTTTGTGGATTTCTTCTCTGCTTCAGTGCATAAAGCAGATGTATTGCACAGATATTTATTTTGTTGCTTGTGTAACATCCAATTCCAATTCCACACGTGACCGATGTCTTTTAGCCGCACCCATTGGATTATTCTCAGACTGTCAAAACAAAGAAAAGGGTACTGAACCAGCCATCAAAATATTGACTTCCAAATTCCAGATAAGATTTTGTTTTCATTAGGTTAAATATTAAGTTAAGTGATAAATTGTAATCACTTTCTCTTTTCCTCACTCTTCCCCCAGCCTCTGGAATTCCTCGTTTCTCTTCTCTCAATCCCACATTGGTCGTTTTGCCTTGTATTCTCTTTGTCTGCACTAAGCTGCAATTTTGAATTCACATGGGGTGGCTAGGAAGGAAGAGGAGTAAGGAAACAGGAAAAACGAAGTAGGGCAGAGAGAGCACCCTGGTTGTCTTTAAAGCAGAGAATCAGACTCCCAATTAGTCACAGCAAAGGGGATCACTGTGCCTGGCAATTCTGCTCCACTCAAAACTAGTAAGTATGGACTGAATCCCTCCCTGTGTCAGGCACTAAGTTGGGTCCAGTGGAGTAGCAGTGATGAATAAGGCATGACCTCTGCCTGTGCCAAGAGACAGTATGGGGCAACGGTGATGGCATGGCTTTTGGGACCAGGCCAACCCTATTCCTTACTTGTTCTGTGTACTTGGACTTATTGTTTCACTGAATTGTTTTTGCCTTAGTTTCCTTATGTGTAAGATGAAGATGAATAATGGCATCATTTTAAAGGACTGTTTAGTGAATAAAGGAAAAATCCATGTAAAACACTCATCATGGAGTTTGGCAGATGGGAGTACCCTCCAAAATGTTAGCTGCAATTATTTTTCATAAAAGGAAGTTCACGGTTTATGGGGAAATATCAGCCTGACTGGGAAGTGCCCTATCACAGGGGTCAGTTAGTGCTTTGGGAACAGAGACAGAGTTGCTATTCAGAATGAAGGACTCGGGAGACATTGTAGAGGAACAGACATTTGAGGTGGATTTTAAATAATTGTGAGAAATGGAGCAAAATCCTCACTGGATCATTTCCATTGCCCTTTGATCAGTGTAACAAGTATCCTCATGACTTTCCAAGAATAGGAGTCTACCCACAGTTGGAGGCATCATAAAACTATACAGGCAACTATTTAATTAGATATAGTCTGTCAATATGAACATGTTAGCACAAAGGACATATTTCTCTAAAATTGCCAAGGGAACACTTCAGTAAGCTTTAATTATGTAGGCACTGAGACTCACACCAAGACCGAGGAACATTCACCCAATGGAAAAGCAAAGGAGGTCCTACGATTTCAGTTGCTTCTCATTTGGAAAGGTATAAGGGAAAGGAGATAGCCCCAGATAACCTGGCTTTAGCCTTCTCATCCAACTATTTCTCCCCATTCTCCAATACAAGGCCCATGCTCTTTAGAAGCTTGTATCTCTGTGGTCCTCCAAAGAGGAATCCATTCCTCACTCAAGCTCTTGCTCATCATGCTCTTTCTCTTCCCTCTGTCTCTTTGGCCCATTCAAATCCTACCCAAACTTTGAGAGCCACAAGGTCTCTTGAGAGCCGACCTTGAGAACCAACAAGGTCACCCTTGTGGAAGTATATTAACTCCATCTCACAGTCATGCTTCACTTCTCTCCATCCCTGTCATACTAGCATCCCTCCTGTGGTTTTAGGGTCTATTCCCTTTTATTGCCATTTATATTTAGTGTAGAGACAAGTCTCCTAAATTCTACTGGAAATTTCTGGTCAGGGATGTTTTTAAATTTCATTTAAATCATCAGCTGTACCTAGTTTCATGTGTAGAATAGGTGTTTAATGAAAGATTGTTGAATTCTCGTGCTCCTTTATGTTAGGACAGGCACTGTTCTATAAGCAGTCCAATAATAGAGAAGATTCAGTGTCTCCTTTTTAAGGGATTACATATTAGCAGTGGGATTGGCTGTGTTCAGGTAGAGAAGATAGAGAACCCTCCTGTGAAGCAGGAAGTGGTCAGTGCCAGGAGAAAGTTAAACGTGGAATCAAAAGAGGAAGACCCTACTTCGTCTTTGCATTGTGCATTCTCAGCTCTTAACTCAAGGAGTGGCACAGGGCGAGTGCTCAGATATTTGTTGACTAAATTAAATGAATGACATCTAATTTGAGAGTGAGGAAGCCTTGAAAGAAAGATATTTTATTAAGATTTAGTAAGAAAGATGAGTTGCAATTGAGAGGTATAGATCCAATTAACATATGGACAAATAATCTTGAAAACATTTTTCTCCCCTAGTACCCCCTTTTATACATTTTTCTGTTTAATCCTCTCTCACACCTATAGACAGAGCATTTCAAGGAATTATAGCCACTACCACCTTGTTTTCAAGGCCCTAATGGATTTGGAAATGTGATATCCACTTATGAGCTTCCATCGCTTCATGAACACATGGCTCCATGAACTGCCAAAAGCACTTTGGGACTAACTCCATAGAGCCAGGAGATCTTTCTTAATACCATCTGGCAGCTACTCTGTGCTTACTCTTTGCCCCACCTTCTAAAAGTTTAAATGGCTGTGGGGGGAGGAGCAGTTGTCACATGATTGAGTGTCAGTGGTCTAGTATCAGAGGGCCATGGCAGGCCTGGAACAACATCTGGAATGTCCAAAGATAACCCTGTCAATCTCTAGGAGTCACAAGGCATCACTTTCCTCTGCTTCTTTCTCTGTGTGTGTCTCTGTAAGCCAGCCCAATTCTATATTACATTTCCACCAAGTACTATATCCTAAATTCAGCTTATCCAGAGAGATGATATGTTTGGTTCAGTTTGGGTCAGCAATCCCCTGTGTGCTAGGCAGAATAATGGCCCTCAAAGATGTCCACTCCTAACCCCTGGAATCTAGGATTATGTTGCTTTACATGGAAAAAAATGGATTTTGTAGATGTGATTCAGTTAAAGGTCTTGAGATGGGAAGATTAGCTTGGATTATCCAGGTGAACCTAATCTAATCTTATGACTTCTTAAAACTGGAGAGCTTTTCCAGGTTGTGGTCAAAGAGGGAGATGTGTCTACCCACAGACTGTAGACGGCCATGTTTGCTACAGAAGTGTGTTAATTTTCTATTACTGATGTAACAAATTGCCACAAGTGCTCTTGGAAGGTTAGTGGAAGGCAAGGACTGGCATCTCTAATATAATTGTACAGGTAATGATGAGTAGTGCGAAGATATCACTCCAAAGCCTCGAGAAGGACAGACTAGCATCTCTGTAAGAGATCCAACTGTCTCCTTTTCTCCATGGGCCAATAATTTACCTCAATCTAAGAAATAATATTGTAACTGGCAGAAAGTGTCTTCAGTACAAATTGTTCATTTTGGGGGTTAAATCATTTGGCAAAATGGGAAGACTAATATTATTGTAAAGGTTGCTAGAAAAATTGTAATATTTCATGTATGTGCGTAAATAACAGTCTTTAAAGCATTTTTGGGGATGAGGTGCAAAATTAAGAGTGGGAGAGGGACTTTAGTAGCAATAAATAGAACTTGAGAATGAAATAGCTATAGAAATAATCTATAGAATATTACAATAAATAGAATAAATTTTAAGTTCCTAGAGGAATTTTTGAAAATACCCACTTTCAAAGCCATGAATTCTTTCTCAATTAGCATTTCATTTTGATTTTGGTACTGAAGCCAAAGATGTTGAGGGAGCTGAAATGCTTCCTGGACTGGCTGTGGCTGTGGAGCCTGGAATTCTGCCATGAAGAGCATGTGTGAGAGAGCAAAATGTTTGTGTACTTTCCTTATGTGAAGGAGTCGGGAAATAATCTAAGAAGCTCAATCCAAAAGCAAAGATGTTCCATCCAGTCTTCTCTGTGAGAGCCAAACTATAAACCATCTGAATGTTCCATGAATGATTTGCTACTGTATTTTAAATGAGTTATTGATACATTTTAAGTTATTCTGATGATGTGCTTGGAAGATGCTTAAAAGTATATTTACTGAGATGATGTGGGAATATCAAGTGTTTATTAAAACAGTACAAAGTAATACAAATGATATGGTTGTCACAATATAAAAATATCTAAAAGCTAAAGAGTTCTTTAATAGTGGAGAATTTTTTCCTTTTCACAATTAAAAGTATTTTTTTTTTTTGTAAAAAATACAACAGATTACTATCAATATCTAACATTCATGGAGTGCTGACCTTGCTCATTTCTGTGCACACATTGCCTCACTTATAGCAATGTTTAGCATTAACTTATCAGGTAGATACCATTGTCATGCACATTTTACAGATGAAGACATTGAGGTTTAGAGAGATTGCATAGATTTCCTAACGTAACACAGCTAGTGGTGGAGCCAGGATCCCAGGAAGCCTAATTCCAGAGTTTAATAACCTAAATATCAATAAAATAACTAATATCCTTGTCACTCTCAGTATGTGCCACTTTCTGTTCTAAATGCTTTACAATTAACAGATCATGTAAACCTCACAATAACACTATGAGGCAGATTCTACTATTACCATTTTATACAAAATGATATAACACATTAAAAATACGTATTTTGTATGTCTTCATCAGCCTTAAAGACACTTTTGAGTTTTTTAGCATATTTTCCCAGAACATGTCAATTTTATTTCCATTTAAATTGCTTGAGATATGGCATGATGCCATAGTCCCTGGAAATTTTATTCCCAGCTGTGTATCTCCCTGGAGTCTTTGAGTTACTCCCATGTTGGGAGGAGGTGGTTTGCATCTGGCCATGCCTGCCATCCTGGAGCCTCCCCACCCTCGTCCTGGGGAATCCCTTCCCTCTTCTCAGGGTGACAGCATCAGCTTCTTAGATACCACATCATTCTTTGAATTAATTTATCAGTTTGGGGGCACTTCATTAGTTATCTTCTGGAGGAAAAGGTACACCAAGGGGTAAATTTATTGAAATCTTTTGTTTCTATTGGATTTCTACTCTGCAGTGATGAGTTTTAATTCTCAAGAATTTTTTATGGCATCATATTCTTCTTTCCTGTGTATAATATCTTTTTACAAATATTATTAACAGCTTTTAGAAAGA